TGTGATATTAACTGCTCTTAAGCATTAGGAAATTGGTTGCATTAGCAAATGACATGGATCTAATTGATCTAAGAAAGAAAACACAAAATCTCTTACTGTGCTGTGATTGGCAAGCAGGGAGGCCTGGTTCTCCTGCCTTCTGGGTGGAGAAATGAAGCACAAAGGACTTTAAATGAGCATTGTTCATCTGTGCCCTGATGTGTTTCGTTGTTCTGAGCTGTGTCAGGTCAGTCAGGCATTAGGAAACCTACAGGGGCTTGTGTATTCAAAAGAGAAAGGTGTTTCTGCATGGTCAGTTTTCTTTTTATTTTCATATATGAGTACTTTATTTACATCATTTCTACCCCTCCCTCTCCTCCAACTCTTCCATGCCCCCACTCTTAAATTCAAGAACCTTTCTTATGTAATTACATTTATACACACACACACACACACACACACACACACACACACACACACACACATATATATATATATATATATATATATATATATATATATATATAACCTCCCAAATTCATGTGGTGTTGCTTCTATGTATGTATGTATCTTAGGGTTTCTACTGCTATTGGAGAGGAAAGGACTTATTTAACCTTATAACTTTATAACTCTCAGGTCACACTTCATCACTGAGGGAAGTCAGAGCAAAACTTCAAGGCAGAAATCTAGAGGCAGGAACTGACTCAGAGACCACACTCTTGTGTGGCTTTCTGGCTTGCTTCTCAGAGCTTGATCAGCTTGCCTTCTATACTGGCTGGTTTGTGTGTTGACTTGACACAAGTTAGAATCATCAGAGAGGAAGGAGCCTCAGTTGAGAAAATGTCTCCATGAGATCCAGCTATAAGTCATTTTTTCAATTAGTGACCAATGGGGGAGGTCCCAGCCCATGGTAGGTGGTGCCATCCCTGGGCTGGTGGTCCTGGGTTCTACAAGAAGGTGGGCTGAGCAAGCCAGGGGAAGCAAGCCAATAGCAGCATCCTCCCATGGCCTTTGCATCAGCTCCTGCCTCCAGGATCCTGCCCTGTTTGAGTTACTGTCCTGACTTCCTTCAGTAATGAACAGCAATGCTAAAGTGTAAGCCAAATACACCCTTTCCTCCCCATCTTGATTTTCAGTCATGGTGTTTTGTTGCAGCAATAGAAACCATAACTGAGATTCTCTCTTCCCAAATGACTCTTTCTTGTGTCTGTTGACATAAAACTAGCCAGCACAACTGGTATTGTCATTGTGCACATCTTGTTTAGGCAACTTTATTGTTGAGATTTCATGGGTGCAAACTTCCTTGTCATGTCTAAAAGACAGTGTCTCACAGAAATCCTGGTCTTCTGGCTCCTATAATCTTTCTTCCCCCTCTTCCACAATGCTCCCTAAGCCTTAGGTTGTGTTTTAGATGTACTAACTGGGGCTAGGCATTCCACAGTAACTTATTCCCTCCATTTTGGATTTCCCTCCAGTTGCGGACCTCTGTAGTTGTTTCTATCTGCTACACAAAGAAGATTCTTTGGTGAAGAGTAGGAACTACACTTATTTATGGGTATAAGTAAACATTGAAAATACAGTCAGAAATTATATTGGTTTTTAGAAAATAGCAGTAATTGGGTGTCCTCTCAGGTATATGATGTGGCCAGCACCAGTAGGTTTGCAGTACCAGGCACAAATCCACTCCCATTGATCTGGACTTCAGTCCAGAGCTATTGGTTGCCCCCAAGATAAAAGTACCACTATTGCCCCATTAGGGATATTCTATTCCATCAGGTCAGTTGTTGTGGTGGTTCACAGACTTCACAGCTAGGGAGTACCATTGATGGTTTTCCTCCCTTGACAACTTGTATAGCACCTTCTGATTCTATGAGAGTTCAATTATTCCAAATCCTGTATTCTAGGTGTGTAGTGTCTTCAGCAGTAGGATCTTATCTTCAAGTTCTGGGAGACAATTGAGGCAATGGCAATAGCCTATATTTTGCAAGGAGTCTCTCAAATCCCTGTGACCAACAATGCAAAGAGAAGTTTCCCATGCCCGACACTAGGATTTTTGTTAAATAATTTGTGGCTGTTGCAGAGGGAATGTTATTCTGTGTGGTATAATTCCATTTAAACTCTCTCTCTCTCTTTCTGTGTGTGTGCACGCGCGCGCGCACACACGCGTGCGTGTGTGTTTATGTATGCATATACTATATATGTATTTTAAGTGAGCTTATAAAAGAATGTTTCCCTGTGGCTTTGTCAAACATCCTTGTTTTTATTTATCTCTGCTTCTCTTCTATGCCTCTTTTAGTTTCCCTGCTCTGGTGTCCCCCTTCACAGTACCTGTGTCCTACTATCCCCAACTCTAGAGTTTGTGCATGCACGCGCGCGCACACACACACACACACACACACACACACACACACACACACACACACACTTCAGTTACTACAAGTAACTACAAGTTATATAATCAAATATAAAGATTCAATTGGGAACTAGGATGCAGAAATAAGAGAGACCATGAGGCATTTGTCTTTCTTGGTCTGGGTTACTTTACTCAATATAATATTTTCCATTTCTATCCATTTACCTGAAAATTTCATGAATTCATTTTTTTACAGCTGAATAGATTCCATTGTGTATATGTATCACATTTTCATCAGTTATACCATTTCTTGGCATGTACCCTAAGAATTCAATAGACTACTACAGTGCCCCCTACTCAGCCATGCTCAGTGCTGCTCTAATGACAATAGATGGGAAATGGGAAAAACTTAGATGTCCTTCAACTGATGAAAAAAAAAAAAAAAAAAAAAATATATATATATATATATATATATATATATATAATATTTTTGAAATGTTCAAAGTAATTTAGAAACTTTTCAAATATAATTTAGACACAAAGATCTTCTGCATTGTCCAAAATAAAATTAATTCTGTTCATGTAAACCATATTTTTTTAGATTGTGGATAATCTGTTCTAAATAATGCTGTAAAGAGCATGCTATGTACTAAGTTCTAAGACAAAGCCACGATGTGAAAATATTTTCAATTCACCAGCTCACTGTATTTAAATCCACCCCAAGTACTTGTAATTTATTGTATAGTCATAACAAAACTGGCTATGAATGCCACCAAATTTAAATCTCTCTTTCACTAGATTTGTGCCATTGACTAATGGTAGTGGTATTGACTGCTACTAACTACATTTTAGAGTATAGGGCCCAGATATTATAATCCATTTATCTTCCATTTTCCCCATTCACATGTATTTTAGTGCCTGTTTTGTTCAAGACATTGTTTTACATTCTATAAATACGACAAATGACCAAAGTTTCTTTTCTTGGGAAGCTAAGTCTTTTATTTGAGACAGTAGTTATAAATAAATAACCTTAACAGCACACAAGAGGAACAAAGGTTCTAAGCTAAGTATAAACAACAGCTGTGAGAGCTCCTAGAAGGACAGTGTTCTAAATGAAAAAGAATTTGGAACTAGGTATAACAGCATGTGCCTGTAATCACAGAACTTCATGGGCTGGGGTGGAAAGATCATGAGTCAAAGCCAGCTTGGACTGCATAGCCAGATTGTCTCAAAAGAAAATAAAAAGGGCAATGTGATATAATGGTTCAGTCAGAAAAGTCCTTGATACACAAGCAATAAAGATCTGAGATTGGATAAGTGGGGATGTAATGTATGAGAGAAGAATAAACTTAAAATATATAAAAAAAAAAAATAAAGGTAGACAGCAACTGAGTAAAGACATGACATTGACCTCCAGCCTGCACATGCATCTACGAGTGCATGAATGCACACACAACACACACACACACACACACACACACACACACACACACACACACACACACATACACACAAAGGGGGAGGTATCCATATGCAGTGATATTTGAAATATAGAAAATAATTCTCTCCCTAGCTCTGTTAATTTCTATTAAAAGTCTGCATTGTCACACTGTGCTACTGTGATTTGCAGGCTTTTTTTTTTTTTTTTTTTTTTTTTTTTTTTTTTTTTTTTAGCAGAGCCACCTAAACATGACCTAAACAAGGATAACACCATTAGACATGCTAACATGGATAAGAACAGCTCAGGAAACCTCAGCCCTACACAGAGAACTACAGGCAGCTAAGGAATGCTGAGAATAAGAGAAATGGTCTCCTCAAGGGAAGAGCATAGCAATTGGTTATCTAATAGCAAATGGTCAGCCCTGAACTATGTGTGTAGCTTGATGCATACTAAGCAGGTTGTATTTATGTATTTAGGAATGTATAATGGAAATGTATATATAGAGATAAAGAGAGCTATAGACAGAACACACACAGAGAGAGAGAGAGAGAGAGAGAGAGAGAGAGAGAGAGAGAGAGAGAGAGAAACCAATAATTTGAGTGAGAGCAAGAGAGTTCTTGGTAGAGTTTGGAGGGATGAAAGAAAAGAATATATGATGTAATTATAATTGAAATATATATATATATATATATATGTTTCAAAAATGAAATAAAATAGAGACTAGAATAGAAAGTATCAATGGTAAGAATTTCAAGAAATGTCTGGACACTGGAGATGAGGATCACAATGTTATGTTTCCCAAAGAGTCAAAGTCAATCAACTCTCTGATATTCTCCATGTTATCCTAAATCCTTATCTGGCTGCTGTCACTGCTCTTCAAAGCCAGCATTGAATTGTCATCCTGCAGTGTGATGATTCCTTCTGGGCTATTTGCAATGGAAGGCTTCCTGCAAACATGCACAAAAATTCAATTTCTTAGTGTTTTTCTCATAGCTAAATTCACGTTAACTTATCTCAGAGTGCATGGGCTCATATAGTCCAGGCCCTGAATTTCTCTGCTGCAGACTTCAGGGCCTGCTTTTCTGTTAAGAAGGAGGGGGTGGGCAGGAAATGGTACTGAGACTTGCTACTCTCAAAATCAATCATTTGAAATGTTTGACAAACAATGGAAAAAAAATTTTAAACAAAATGCTTAATTCTTTTTCCTTTTGTCCTCCTCTCTCTAAGCTGCCTGTCTTGTGCTTGGCTGTATGATTTTCCCTGATGGCTGGGATTCAGATGAAGTAAAACGGATGTGTGGAGAAAAGACAGACAAGTACACTCTTGGGGCCTGCTCTGTCCGCTGGGCGTATATCCTGGCTATCATTGGAATATTGGATGCCCTGATCCTCTCATTTCTCGCATTTGTGCTTGGGAACCGACAAGACAGCTTGATGGCGGAGGAACTGAAGGCAGAAAACAAAGGTAAGATTACTTAAGGGATTCTTAGTGGATGCCTCAAGCACAAAACATAGCCCAAAACAGCAGTCCTTAATCTTGCCCACCAGGTCCTCTTTCCCTAAAGCTCTCATTTGCTTCATGTTAATGCCCTGGAGTCTAAGACTTCTCCATAGCCTCAAGATGTTTGCAAGACTGAAGTACAGCATGGCATTTTCTCATCCTTCTTAGGTACTCTCTAAGTCCATTGTGACTGTTTAAGTATTTTTCCAGTTTCCTCTTCCTTCTCTCTAATGCCTTAGGTATCAGGAGTTAATGAATAGGAGGCAACACTTGGGGAAGGGTGTCTGTTTGAATGACTGGAATGTGCTTCCTCTCTGTGGATACAGCTATTTTTCTAGAGTAAAATAAATATCTGAGAAATCTCTCACAACCATCATAACCACTGGATTTAAATTCAAACTCTTTCTATCAGAGAGAGAGATCCCCACCCCCAAGTAGTTACAGAGATTACAGTAGTACCCCAATTGGCTGGACTTTTCAATGTGTTATCTGGGTAACCAACTGCTCAGATTTCTTCCCAAAAGGAAATTGTCTAGTGACATACTAGGAAATTGAGAGAAAGAATAGGACATTGACTGGTGTCCTAATATACCAGAGTATATTAGAGTAGGTGACTAAGAGTATGTCATTATTCAAGGTGAAATCTTGTAATTTTTCTTTCATATTGTTAAACCTATTCTTTGCAGTAGAACTTTAATGACAAGTATTTGTTATAGCCTTAGATTTGTTTAATGTATTTAATCCCCATGAAGCTGGGGGTTCCTTTTGTTGGTGGTTGGTTGATTTTTGAGATAAGGTCTTGCTCTGTAACCCAGATTGACCTCACACCCCTGATCTCCCTCTCCTCATGCAGCCTCCTCAGTCCCCAGACTGAGCTTGTGCCACCATGCCTGGCTCTGCATGTTATCTTTAATCTTTATGCTTTGCAGTTACATTATCGCCATCAGCTGAGTGGCTCCTTATAGCTTTTTGTTCTTAATAAGAAGCTAAATCCATCCTTGAATTATAAAACTTAGATATTACTTCAGGTAGCTGCTGTGGGATGTTCTGTTTGTTAAATGTGTTGCTCTGATTGGTTAATAAATAAAACACTGATTGGCCAGGCAGGAAGTATAGGTGGGACAAGGAGAGAAGAGAATTCTGGGAAGTGGAAGGCTGAGGCAGAGAGAGCTGCCAGCCACCACCATGAGAAGATATTGAGATACCGGTAAGCCACGATCCATGTGGCAACCTATAGATAGATTAATAGAAATGGGTTGATTTAAGAAAAAGAACAGTTAGCAAGAAGCCTGCCACGGCCATACAGTTTATAAGTAACATAAGTCTCTGTGTGTTTACTTGGTTGGCTCTGAGCAGCTGCAGGACTGGCAGGTGAGAGAGATTTGTCCTGACCGTGGACCAGGCAGGACCAGGAAAACTCTAGCTACAGGTAGCTGTTAATTTGAAGCATCCCTCACTATTTTTAACAAGGCCTCTAATGAACATCTCATGTAATGGTCACACAGCCAGCTTCACAGGTAGCCATCACTGTCCATGCTTGTCAAGTAGGATTATGAAAAGGTAAATGAAGTCACCAAGAGGGCAGCAGACACCCAGAAACTTTCACTCCCTGGTGTATAGACACCGAATGCATTATTTACTTAATCCTATCAAGAATGTTCTAAGCACAAAAATAACTTCCACAGGGAATGCTGCTAAAACTTCCTAAAAACAGAACTACCAGGGCTGGAGAGACGGTTCAGTGGTTAAGAGACATGGCTGCTCTTCCAGAGGACCAGGTTCAATTCTCAGCACCCACATAGCAGCTCACAACTGTCTGTAAGTCCAGTTCCAAGGAATCTGACACCCTCACACAGAGTTTATACAGGCAAAACACCAATGTGCACATTAAATAAAGAAATCTTAAAAAAAAAAAAGCCTTTCCCTCAGAGTTACCCCCTCTCTATAAAAAAAAAGCACTCAATATGAAGATAATAATTATGGTTTTATGTTACAGATTTAGTACTTTCTGTGCATTCATTAGTCATTTTTTATAAACTTATTTTTTAAAAAAAACTTTCAAATAAATAAAAAACATCACACACTAAAATTAACCAGACCCAAAGTCTATACAACTTAAAGAACTCATATACAGTTAGAATTAGCACTCTAAATAGAAGCTGTGATGCTTCACATTAGATTTTACACATTCAGTATTGAATATATTTTATGTATTTACCCATCACCAAAACCAAAAAAAAATCCATGATAAAATTAGAACTAGAAAAAAATAGCTTTATATTCTTTTTCATAACTTGTGCCCATTACCTGCATTCAGTTCTTTCTCATCTCCTTGTATTTAGCTTGTCTTTTTCTCTTTTCTGTATGCTATACAGTACCCACACATACATTTGCTTTCATAGGTACATACACATTAGTCATGCACTCATTGTGTGGAGCTCTTGTCTGTCTCTGTGGTCTGTTGGATACACTTGGTTTTCTGTCTTCTTTGCTTCAGATTTAAGAATAGCTGAAATTTGCCAAATTACATTTCTGGAAGGAATGAGTTATGGCTAATTTGTTCTGCAAATACTTGAATTCCTCCAGCCTCTAGTATGGCCCAGAATGGTATTTTTTCCTTTGATGTTCAAAGTTATACTGAAAACTTTTGAACATTGAACAGATCTTCTTTGACCACAATACAAGAGAATTCAGAAAAGTTAAAGTCAGTAGTCATTCATCTGGCACAGATCAGATATCCAAGGAAATACAGAAAGCATCAAACCATACAATGAAACATTTCAGTTTCTCAATCCAAAATCCTTAATGTGAGGCTCTGGGAAGATAAAAGCTTTGCACTACAGACTTGTCAGAACCTTATGCACTGGATTCTCTATAAATCAAGTCAGATTTCTAAGCTTCATGTAAAATTTAACAAGAAAACTTTGTTGTTTGGTATTACTTAATAATTTGTTCAGAGTTGAAACTTCTGAACTCAGATTATCTGAGACCAACTAATGACTCTATATGTGATGGGCATAAGCCTAATTTACAATCCTGAATTGGCAACATTATAATTTCATGGATATACTAATATCACTGTGGACTAATAAAAGTATTTTCCACTATGTAGTTGTTACTGATAAAAATACCAAAATGTGCACTGGGGGAAGAAATCTTTGTTTTGATTTTGTGGTAATACATTGAACTGTAGATGAACCTAGTCCTGGCTCAGAATTTCAGAAGAATGTATATACCTCAAGTTGTTGTAAAAGAATGTATATGTCCTAGGATGATTTCTGGTTCTAAGGAGCCAGACAGTGCTATATGTGAAGCCATGACTCAAAAGAGCAAACAATTTATACATTTTTAATATCAGTATCACTACACATTGCAACATCTTCTATCATCTTTCAGTGTTATAGCCTACCAGCCGTATCAACATGTATCTTATAGGTAGCAGATGCATAACAAGGAACAAGATATGATCATGACATGTAATAGACCACTAAGGACTCTAAGGACCATGTCTTCTTTGGGGCTGCTGTAATTAACTCAACACATATCCCCTGCTGTATGTGGAAGAGCCACCGTATAGATCTAGGTTTTCTGTGTATTGTTATAGCAAGAAAATGCTTAGATCCATGAATCTTGCTTAGCAGCCACTCTAATGAGATAAAACAAAATCACTGCTACATCAGTTATAGAATCAGTCAAGGAAAGGAACTTGGTTCTCATTATTGACCCTCCTCCACTCATAGGATCTTAAGATAAAGGGAATATAAGATGCTACTGAATCATAAATTAATCACCACAAAGAAAACAAGGAAGGGGCAGGTAACTAAAAGTCCACACCTCAGCCAGCTACAGCCATCTCCCACAACACATTTCCAGTGTCCTTGCCCCAGGCCCTCTTCAGCACATCCTGAAGTATTTCTTGAGGCTCTCCTTTTCCAGAGGCACAAAGATCACTTGAAAGACACCTCAACTGGAACAGATTGTAAATTGTGGAGTGGAAAAAAAATGAAAGCAGAGGCATTTTTCCATACCTTCAACTAAACTAACGTTTAGTTGTTGTGTACAATCTCTGTTTTACAGAAAATCACTACTTGGAAGATCCAAGTGTTCTCATAGAGGATCGGGTGTGGAGCTTGATGGAAGTGACAGAGTAATTTTTAATGGGAAAAAAGTTCCACTGAAAAACAAAGGGAAATAAAAATTTTAAATCCAGTTAACCTTGTACCAGATTTGGCCCATTAGGGTAAAAAAAAAAAAAAAAAAAAAAAAAAAAAAAACCAGCCTCTCCTCCTGCTCTGACCATGCGATGCGGGGGACGCGGGGGACGTGGGGGACACAGGCCTGCAGGCTGTGTGGTCCCCAGCACAGGGATTACAGTGCTAGACAGGTGTTTCTTCTTGTTTAGGAGTGCAGAAGCATGATTTCTAAATGAGCCAACAGCAGTCGGCATTTAACCTTGATATGCTGTTTAATTGCATATTTTAACACACTGAACTGTGAAGTCAATTTAATTATGTAAAATTAAAGTTTCACCCAGATAAAAAGGATTTGAAATGAAAGCTTCAATTTCAATTTCTTTCATTAGCTGTGAAAGGATAAATAATTATGTTTTCCAGAGCTCCTATGCTACAAACGTCTCGTTCCTTGTCAGACATCATTTATGAAGAGGTCTGTGTGTGTGTGTGTGTGTGTGTGTGTGTGTGTGTGTGTGTGTGTGTGTGTGTGTGTTTCTGTGTGTGTGTTTCTCAGATAATCGAGTCCTCTCATGAGCAGCCTTGAAGTCACTTTGTCTTTTCAGCACTGCAAATAAGGAAACTTGATCTAGAGGCGACTCAAGCAACCATTTATTAAGTGCTTTAAGCACCTTTTAATGCTATAATAGGGGAAGGAGAATAAATTTTTCTTACTTACCTAATTGAGAAGTCCTTTGGAATTTTGATTTTAGATATCATATTATGCTATGACCA